ATGTACGTATATGGGCGAGCTCGGATACAAATGCGAGAGAAATCTACTGGCTGCAATGTATATGCACATGGAGAGGAAAATTCCCCATGCTTTTCTTAAGGAAAAGATTGTTTTAATTCCCAATGCGGAAGAAGCATCACAATCTGCAATCCCCCACAGAGACAATTGGCTCGAGGAACCACCTGGACGGAGCCATACAAGTCTTTACATATGGCTCTAAGATGGACAATAAAGCTGGAGGAGGTATTTACTTCGAGCAACTAAATATAAGGCACTACTTTAGGCTTTTTATCGTAATAAAAAGTTCTCTGAAAAATAAAAATGTATTGATAAAGTTGCAAAGTCGAAAGCAGATGGCACAATTTATAAAAGAAACCTATCTAAATTAGGTATATGTAAATGTGCAATTTCAAATAAATCAAACAAATACCATTTTTTTTTGTATTTTTATATATTGAATTTATTTCCCACCGCCACCCACTCTGCCCATTCCTGATTTATGTTGCGGTAGGTCAGCTCAGGTCGCTACATCAGCCCTAAAATAAAAACGAAAACCCATTTCGGTTCAAGCGGACAAAAATTGTAGAGCCCACACAAGCACAGTATATGAGAATACATGGCACACACACATTTACGTAAACTGACATCTCAAGCAAAATCGGTTTCGGCAGCTAAAAATTATTCTATGCATGCAATCATATATTTTGGAGTGTTACACACTTGTCACGTCATGAGCCGAACGTCATGAGCCGAACGCCGAACGCGGGAATAATGAACAATACCTTAAACGACGTCTAATTAATGCGTCTATCTAAAACTAAAAACGTTGGCCAAGAATTTTTTTTTTCGACTTATTCCGAGTTTAAGAAAAAACAAAATTTCGAAAAAAAAAACAAAAAATTTTATGAAATTTGAATTTGAAAGCTTAATATCTTTTAGGCGTTAAGCTGCAGATACAAAAAGTCTGGGTTAAATTTATAGCTGCATTTGTCAGAACTTCAAAGTTCTTTGCAACCAGATATAAGATACTTAAGTTATGTAAAAAATAGAAGCACAACCTCTGAAAAAAACCTGGAAAAAAATAACAGATTTTAAAAATTCTTTAAAAAAAAAATGACACCATAAAAAAAATAATAAAGTACTACAAAAATGTTTAAATCCGGAAATCTATCAGAAAAAGTCATTTTGGTTCACAGCCTAAAGATAAAGTTAAATTTTCTCGAGTAGTGTAATAGCCAGTGGTGTAAAATAACTTAATTCCACCTTTGTTTGCTATTTGCATTGCCCACCGCATATAAATATTGTAACCGCTTATAATTACTCACAGCAGCGGCCGTTCTTTCGCCTCTTTATATCTCCTTCTTAATTTTGCTACTGCAGATGCAGCATCTATGCTGTTCTCTCGCATTCTCTCTCTCTATCTAACGCTCGTACTCGGCTCAGCAGCAGCCCGAGCTTCTATCGCTTCTTTTGTTCTCTCTCTTGCTTGCATTAGGGCACGGGTACACCTGCCCTCTTTTAGTCTTAAATTGATCGTCATCATTATTGCACTCAAGTTCTTTCGTCTTGATCTGGTCCTAAACCTGCAAGAACATACCTTCGCCCTTTATATCAATATTCTACATACATAACAGCATATATTCGTCCGAATCGCGTTTTCTATGCACACAAGCAATATTGATCGTTGCCGGCCCCTATATCGCGCAACTAATAAGCCAAATATATTTAACTAAAATCAACGACTTTTATTCATTAAAACAATTGCAACAGCTACTGAAAGAGCTTGCTAGCTCAAAAGTGTTTTTATAGAAAGAGAAATACCCATATACAGAGAAATACCCATATGCAATGTATATTCTACATCTACCATTTAGATTCTACATGTCCTCCGCTAGAGGGCGCTCGCGCACTGAACAAGGCAGATTGTGCGAGAGAGAAAGAGAAAGAGTAGTGGATACAGCGCTGGAGGAGGTGGAGAATGAGTAGCGGGTCTCTTGCTGGTAGTGGCGGGGGAAGCAACTGAAAATTAATATTTTTATTCTGGCTATAATATTAATCCAATCTGAATCAGATTTGGCGATCTGATAGATATGATCGGAAACGAATCCTTCTCTTCGTTGCTCACATCCACTTTTACCACAAATCTAATATGCCCCTTAACTCTTTTTTGAGTACGGGTATAAAAAGCTTAATAGCTTAACAATTAGCTTATAGCTCCTTCGTCGCTAATGCACAGACCTTTTCTCTTACCACCCAAGGCGCCTGTATTAAGACTACAAAACATTTTTTCTTCACGGTGTTCGGCACGGGAGGCGTCACCATCTGCTGCTGCTGATAGTCAGACACATTGGGCAGCCCAGGATATGCCTGGGGAAGAGCTACCTCATCCGAAGAAATGCATTTTATTAACTTTAAACATAACCAAGCAGCTGTCCGGGCAGTGTAACCCTACGGAATGCAGTGCACACCTCTGGTCACACCACTGGCCGCTAGAAGAATATATGATATTTTTTTGCTGGCAAACAGTTTTTGGATCTATATACTAGGCTTTAGGAACCTTAGTTCGACTTCGGTTTGTGAAAATAATAAAAAATGTAATTGCTCGGAATTCTGTTTGAAATTTTTAGGCGGAATTGCTTTCAGCTGATTCCAATTTCGCTAGAGATTTATATGTCACCCCTAATTTACGACGATCGGCGCACGACTAACTGCCTCTTAGAAGAGAGCCAGAGATGGTAAGCTAGGAGAGCGATATAGCAGCTCGGCGTTGCTGCTAACCCGAGCTCGAACGAGAGATACAGAGAATAAGCTTAGATGTTGCAACTACAGAAACGAAGATATCGGAATAATGAACCGAGAGAATGGCCATTTCCGTGCGGTGTACGGTTCTTTACAGTAGGCAGAATATAGAACAAAAATTATTATTTAAGTTAATATATTTTTGTTGCCTGATAAATACTCCATCCGTTGCACACTAGTTCCTTTTTTCCATTTAAGACGTTTTTTTTTTGCAATTGACGTCAAAAGAGCAAAGAACTAATCAATAATTTTCATCAGGGCGACAACCTGGTAATTAAAAACAAAAAAGTTAAAATTAAGTAGATAAAATCGATATGAATATTGGAAAAAAAGGTGTTACTTTAATTATTCTAATTTGGCATTGTTTAAATATTGTCTGCTTTCTTAATAATATCATTGTTTTGCCAGTGTCTTCGTATGTGCTTTCTCGTCCATGATAATAATTTTCATGCAAAATTTTAGTTGTTTAAGGGGGGATCTTAATCTTCCAACAGGACTTTTTATGTACTAGTAGTTAAGGGTTTTATATTCTAAAATGGTTACTTTCAGTTGCCAAGCTGCGCCAGGGAATGATTCAATCATATAAGGTGGTCTCGTCGGCTGCCGAATCGTATGTTTGTTGAAAGAATGGTTGTGTGCGAACAAATTTTTTCGGAAGCCTTAGCCCTGCACTACAAAAATTACGTATTGTAGTTTTTGCCTCAAGAACGTGCAAAGAACAGGTTAGCATAACAAAAAATGTTAAACAAAAATTTTTAATGGCTGTCGAAACAATTATAATTAAATTAGATATAAAAACGTTTTATTTTAAGATTCGAATTTATTTAAGAATTAAGAACCTTAAAAAAAGAACCCTATGGTCCATCTGAGGGTTAAGAAACACGCTCTATTGTTGTTTCACCCACAATTACTGCGCTGAGCCACTAACCATACAGTATGTTATAGTTGTTTCTTATGTAAATAAATATTGTGCAAATACCGTCGGCTTTCGACTTCGTTGCTGCCGTAATATCAACTTTTTCAATAAATTTACATATATTTTTCAGAGACCTGTTTTTACGATCCAAATAATTGCATTTAAAGATCTTTTTATATGAATTATGCCCACTCTGCCCATTCCTTATTTATTTTGCAGCAGGTCAGCTCAAGTTGCTACATCAGCCCTCAAAACAAAACGAAAAACCAATTCAAGCGGAAAAAAATTGTAGAGCCCACACACAAGCATAGTATGTGTGAATACATGGCACACACACATTTACGTAACCTGGAATCGAAACTCTAAACAAACTCAAAACGGTTTCGGAAAATAAGAATTCATAAATATTTTGTCGTGTCTGTGTACACACATGCATTTGCAATTCTCGGCTTGCTTTCGTATCTCATCATGAATCGAACATGTCCAAAAAATGCCGAACGTCTCAGGCCCACGACCCGAACGTCTCAGCACCACAGCCGAATGGTCCCAGCACCCCAGCCGAAGGCCTACATGCATTTTCGTGAAAAAATGGTTATTATAGTAGACAAATCCAGATATGGAGGTAGAGGATCGTCCCACTATGGAAATATTGCAAGAATATTCTTTTGCTACGCAGCTACGAAAAAGTAAACAATGACAGACAGGAAAATGGGGAAAAAAATAACAAAAAAATTAATAATTTTTCTAAATATAATAACTTTCTTAAAACTTTCTTATTTCAATAGTAAAAAGGTGTTTAAGAACGAGGTTTACTCCTTTCAGCTTAAATTTCCCTTTGCAGACAATTCTTTCTTAAATGAACTGTAGAGGTTTTATATTTTTAATTGATGTCAAAAGTAGGACGCACATATAACTGAACTGTTTAAAAACTACATCATTGCAGAAGTGGAATCAGATTTAGTAAAGAAAACCTTGTCCTTAAAAGACCTTTTTACTATTGAAATAAGAAAGTTATTATATTTTAGAGGTGTTTCCTTCTCTGCGTTAAACACATCCACTTTTAAAAAAAATACAATATTTCCGCCGCAACACATTGTGTGATATTTTTAATGGATTTTGGATTGTGGGAATCTGAGTTTCACATCTGTCAACAATTCGCACCGTTTATCATAGATGTGCTGTGTGGGAAAAGCCTATTGAGGGTTAAATTGTTGATCACACCATTTGTGTTCCATTTTCTAATGTTTCAAGTTTTAGAAGACTTTTTTTACATATGAACATTATATATTTAATAGGTTTACTTCTAAAACATCAATATAATTTTTTCTACAACGCGAATTTAAAAATTGGTATATATATACATATGTGTTTAAAAGGATGGATTCGCTTACAGAAGACAGCGAACAAGATGTTCGGATAATGCGTTTACAACAGCTAATTGAAAAAAACATTGAGATTGGTAAGTAGACATTGATTTATTTTTATTACAGTAAATTAATTTATGAAATTAAATTTGTTTAACCAGAGCAACAACTTGAAAATAAAAGATTCGACGATTCAATATTGGCTATAGAAACTATACTTAAAAAATCAAACGAAATTGCAAAGGGACAGGAAGAACGTCGTACAAATCCCACGGAGCTCGTACTAGACACTGAGTTGCTAAGGCGCAATCATGAAGTAGTAGGAAAGGCTATACAATATAACACAAACTTTACTGATCAAATGATCTTTACAGCTATTGTAAGTACAAAAGTAGAAAAATTACATATATGATTGTCACAAATTAACCTGTAATATTATAAGACGAATTTAGTTTTTAAAGACAACGATGAAAATTGGGACTCTCTTTGCACTGTATTTATTCAGTTTGGAATGCCGTTATGCACTAATGATAGTATGATAGCCTTTATCGATGTTGCACCGAAGCAACACATTCAAAAGAGCCGTGGTATACGAAAACGAAAAACTGTTGTAAGTATGAACAAGTAGTATGTATATAAAATTGGTAAAAAAAATTGAGTTTGATCAATAAGTAAATCGGACCATTAAGTCAGTTATATATGTAGTTACCGTATATGTAGCAATATCTTTTTGTTCATTATTGCGCATTTTATTTCATCTTTATCTTCATTCGTTGCAATTACAACCAGATTCTCCAATCTAGTAGGGAATGTTTCGAAAATTGTAAATGCACAGGAAATGTGAGCTCCAGCTCTTATTGTCTCCGAGATCTATTCGAAAATCAAGACGGACCTTACCCACATATACATTAGTGCATAACAACAATATCAGACTATTTTTATACCCGTACTGGAAGAGTTAAGGGCTATATTACATTTTTGGTCGAAGTGGATGTGTGCAACGCACGAAGGAAACGTTTCCGACCCCATAAAGTATATATATTCTTGATCAGCATCAATAGACGAGTCCATATACCCATGTCCGTCTGTCCGTCTCGATGAGCGTCTAGATCCAGAGACTATAAGAGCTAGGGCAACCAAATTTGGTTTCCAGACTCATGTCATATCACACAAGTGTGCTACAAGTGTATTTCAATATTTCGCCCCGCCTCCACAAAGGACGAAAATCTGTGGCAGGCACAATTTTAAGGATACGATAAAACTAAAAACGCAGTATGGTAGAGAATGCCCATATCTACCAGATTGCTGAGTCTGAATCAGATTGGATCATAATTATAGCCAGAATGAAGAAATGAATTTTCTGTTGGTTTTCCCGCCTCCGCCAGCCAGAGACAGACCCGCTACTCATTCTCTTTCTCGCTCGCACACTCTGCCGCGTTCAGTGCGCGAGCAACCCCTAGCGGAGGAGATGTAGAATTTAAATGGTACATGTAGAATCTACATGTTAGATGTAGAATATACATTGTAGATGTAGATCTAGATAACAGATGTAGCAAAAAAATTAAAAATGTAAAATTTTTTTTTTATTGCTAAAATTTTAAAAAATTATAAGCTCAAAAATGTATATACTGACTGAGTCCGGGTATAAGTAGATTCGCGTCCCCAGAAGCGACTCGCACGTTCCTTCTCGTTTTTTTCTGATTTTTTGGGATGAGGCACCGAAGCCTAACAATTACAATGAGTAATTTGCATTTCTTTTGCAGGTTGAAGAAAAACGTCCAAAAAAAAGTGACAAGCTGCTGCGCAAAGAGGAAGGCTCAGCATCGGTCAGCAATACGCTTAAACAAATCAGACAAATGTACAGAACTGGTAACGACCAGCCCATTCCGTATTTCAAATTAATTTGTCACCCTACAAACTTTATGAACTCTGTTCAGAATTCATTGAATATTTCATTTCTTGTTCAAGAAAACATGATTCGTATTGAGCCAGGAATTAATGATTTGCCACAGATTCGATGTGTTGCAAATCCCAGAAATGTATCTACAAAAGGGTCTGCTCAGGCAATTTGTGCCATTGATGTTCTCTTTTGTCAGGTATGAAAGTAAAAGGTGTGCAGGAAATTGTAATCTTTATTTTTATTATTTCACAGGAAATGGTAAAGTACTACAACATACAAGAACCAATGCTGAAACGACTGGAAAAAGACGATAGGTTTTAACGAAAATTTTATTGTATCAATAACAAATCAATATAAATACCTTGTTCTCATTTCAAAGACCATTTTTGGCACCACGACGATATTGGAAACGAAAATCAATGACAGATTAATAATAAAATTCCCTGGATGTTGAATAGTACAAGAAATGCTCCGGTATTTGCAGCTTTTTACTATCGATGGTGTTTCGTTCCCAAATTAAACGAGAAGGAACGTGTGAGTCGCTTCTAGGGACGCGACTCTACGTATACCCGTACTCAGTCAGTATATACATTTTTGAGCTTATGATTTTTTAAAATATTAGAATTTAAAAAAAATTTATATATTTTTGCTACATCTGTTATCTACATATACATCTGTTATGTATATTCTACATCTAACATGTAGATTCTACATATACCATTTAGATTCCACATCTCCTCCGCTAGGGGTTGCTCGCGCACTGAACGTGGCAGAGTGTGCGAGCGAGAAAGAGAATGAGTAGCGGGTCTCTGGCTGAAGTAGGCGGGGGAACCAATAAAAAATGAATTTCTTCATTCTGGCTATAATTATGATCCGATTTAATTCAGATTGGGCAATCTGGTAGACATAGTCATTCTCTACGATACTGCGTTCTTAGTTTTATCGTATCGTTAAAATTGTGTCTGCCACAGATTTTCGTCTTTTCCGCGTCGGAAGGGGGCGGGGCAAAATTTGAAATACACTTGTAGCAGTGTGATATCACATGAGTCTGGAAACTAATTTGGTTGCCCTAGCTCTTATAGTCACTTATAGTCTAGGCGCTCATCAAGACAGACAGACGGACATCCATTTTTACCAGAAATACAATATACCCCTTAACTCTTTTTGAGTACGGATATAATTAGTTAAGTTAAATATCATCGTTTCGGCCTCGACCTTCAACATCGGCTGCTAATTTGTCAAGAATTCCTGTGAATTCGGAAAGGGACAGCCTTGTGGCGATGTAGACGCTATAGGTGCAAATACTTCAAACTTTTGCGCGAACAACACTGATTTGTCGCGGCATATCCATAGCGCTGGCTTTTTGGTGGTAAGATGGAGCCAGAGGAATCTCTAGTTTTGTATGGCTCGCTAAGGATGGCAGACCTTGCCATTTCCCGCACGGTCTGACTCAGCAGTTCTTAAGCCGCAGCGCAGCTGTTAAGGTTTAGCTACAATAGCTTCATCATTGGGGCGGCTTGCTGGACCCACCTTTGGTTGTTGGACATCTTGTGATGCCCGCGTAGTCTTTTGCTTCCTTGCGCTTGTTCACGATAAAGCAACTTGGGTCGCTCTGTGCCCAGTTGCGTCACACTTGAGGCAATATCCGGTGCGATGCTCCGCGCTCTTGAATCTGACTGCTCACTTCCAGCAAGGCTTTTATCATGTGATATCACACTGCTAAAATTGTATTTCAAAATTTCGTTAAAAAAGTTATATACTGACCGAGCTCGGTCATAAAAGTAGAGTCCACAAAAGCTTTCCACGCACGTTCCTTCTCGTTTCTTTTGGATATAATATAATGCGATTGCCAAAACGATGGGATATTTAACTAAAATATTTCCATTTCCAATCCAAACAAAGATTTTTTTGAAGACAAATATCGCAAAACAATTTGGGATGAAAACACTATCGATAGAAAAAAATACGAAAACCTGATCGCACACAATTTCAGTTCGTCCGATTTGTTCCAAAATCGTAATCGCAAAAACTTACGGAAACCGGAGCATAGCGGTATAAGACCGATTTTCTTAGGGTTTCCATTTTCAAAATCCTTGGAAAATTCTCTATCACTCTCACTCAAAAAATAACTTTTGCCACCTGTTCTCGGCAGAGGCCCCACTGTGCGACGTGGATTGGCTTATAGAAAGTCCTCCTCGCATCGGTTACTGCTAGAAGACGGCGGACTGACTGAGTCTCCTTCCCTGGTCCTTCATCCATTAGTCCCCCTGTATCACCCGAAAAGCTGACGGCCCACTTATATATATAAAAATGGAGAGAGAAAAATGTATAGTGCTTCATCACGTGAGAGCGGCTTTGCAGACTCGCCTTTTATTTATATTCAGTTCGTATTTACCAGGAAAATGTTTTTACGAAAGAAAATTTTTAAAAAACCAACCGTCTATCGCGAAAAAACTAATTTTTGGAACGGCTGTGTCCATTTGGCTCAAATTTGGTTCAGTTGTTCGTGTTTGCCAGAAGATGGTTTTGGAAATTTTGGGAAATCCCACCTGCAATCGTAAAAAAATAGATTTTCTATTTGTTTCTTTTATGGAACCTCAGCCGGACAAGAGTAGGCGAAGAGGCAATTGTTTTGTCGGATCTGAGTACTAGCAAAGACTATACAATACCAAGATGCTGCATGAGCGACCAAAAAGCTGTTCTATGGCGAGGCTTACCGGTACGCCCCACGGACAGGGGGAGCGCGCGGTGTTTCAATTCTCTTTTTGGCTATGCTTCGTCTGTCACCGCGAGCCCGCTGCCTGACAGCTTCGTCTGTTCGTAAGAAACGAACCGAGCGAGCTCGAGACCGCCCAGCAGATGCACACAGTGGGCCCAGCTTGATAAATTATAAAGTGAAAAAGGGTTCAATACATTTTTGAACATTTAATTTTCATATCATATCTCTGCTTATATCTCCTAAACTAAAATGTTCTTGAAAATTAGATTCGCTAAAGCTCTGGAAAATGCTCTACTAGATAGATGTGTACATTTACTTTATTCAAAGCGTTCATAAAATATTTTTTAATTTTCCACCTCTTTTGGGCTGATTCCCCACTGTAAATACACACAATACAAACAAATAACAACTTTAAAACCAAACTCGACCTATTCAGGGCCGGATCAACCCTCAACCGGCCCTGGGCAACCATCAATCTGGAGCTCTCCATTTTTTTTACGCCATTTTTTTCCTTCTTTTTGCATTTGAAATATAAACTTAGAATTTTATATTTGTTTGATTAATTTGTATGTTTCTCAGTGGCTATTATGTTTTTTATTTATTATTTGGAGTTTTGTTTTGTTTTAACAAATTTTTCTGTTAGCCCTAAGCAGGGCCCTAGGCGACTGCCGGCCCTGGACCTATTCCCGTCGTCAGACTTCATATTTTGTTGGTATATTCTGTCGACCGAAAGCAGAGGCAAAGGCTAGTCTAAAAGAGAATGGAAGAAATTTACCCCGCGCGCCCGTACCATGAAACGTCAAACGAAAATTGAACGAGCATTTGCTCCTTGTGCACCATCTTTGTATTGTATAGTCTTTGGTACTAGGCTTAACTCTTTTAAAGTACGTGTATACAAATCGGTGAATTAAGGAACAAACATTTATTTTATCGGTCAGATGGGAATTCGCACTTTTTTGTTGCTTAGGTTTTTTTGCGATTTGACTGTCAAATTTGACTGTCAAATAAATTTTTGCGATTTGCGATAACCGGAGCATGGCTGATAGTTTCGGAGATGTGAGCATTCAAATTCACATACCTATACCCTCTGCACAGTGTGCCCACCCCGGGGCAGCGGTGGAAATTTTTGAAAGATGTGAAACACCGACACTGACACCATCCACCATCCATGATGCTCACATTTGCCTGCGGTGAAAATCCAATCAATGTTTTATATACAAATATATATTCTATGTTTGTTGAGAAGCGGTTTGGGACATTTTGGGAGAAAGATGTACCCGATAACAACGAGGCGTTATTAAAGCTATGTTTTGTATAGCCGTATACTTTTCTGAGTACAGAATGGTCAGAAGGCTTTCAGCCCATAACTTGTGCAATATCCTGCATGAGTTTTGCAGAGCATTCATAAATGAGAGAATCCCAGAGGATAATCCACAAACCGAGTTTTCTGTCTGAGACAATTCTGACATATCATATGTTTTGTTGTTGTTTTTCCCATTTTCCTGTGTGTAATTGTTTACATTTTCGTAGTGAATTCCGATTTTTTGTTGTGAATGTCAAATATTTATGGTTGCATTTGACAATTATCGAAAAAATACCGCACAGAAACGTGCGAATTAGGAACATCCCAGATGGATGGTGGAACAACGGAAATTTTCGGAACGGCAAAACCTTATAGCCCTCTTCCACGCAGCACATCTCTGAGGAACGGTGGGAATTTTTGACAGATGTGAAACTCCGATTCACACTGTCACCATCTACCATCCATGAAAAATAGCTGATGCACACAATTTAGTGGGGCGGAAAATTTTTTCTTTTATAATTTAAATGAATATTAATAATATTGCAATGATTGTGAATTTGATTCAGCACCAAAATATATTCTTACACAATCTAATCATGTTGCTGGACATGGATGATGATAATAATGTGGTCAACATTGACGAGGAGAATTTATTGGAATGGATTTGATTTGAAAACACTGAAGCGTCGTCATTTGTGACTGCTTCTACTAAATTCAATCAATGTTTTAAATACAATTATATATTCTATGTTTTTTGAGAAGCGGTTTGGGAGAAAGATGTACCCGAAAACCATGAGGCGTTTTTTAAGGAAAGTTTTGTATAGCCATAGCATTGTAAACTTTGGGTTCTTTTTCTAAGTACAGAACAGTTGGAAGGCTGTCAGCAAACAGCGTGTGCAATATACTGCATGAGTTTAGAAGAGCATTCATAAAAGAATTCCCAGTCCACAAACCGAGTTTTTCTGCCTGAAACAATTCTGACATATCAGATGTTATGTTTCTGTTTTTACCATTTTCCTGTCTGTCATTGTTTTTTTTTTTTTTTTTTTTTGTTTAAATTATCGCATGGATGACAGGGGTTTGATCGCAGCTACGTTTCCACATTGATCAGATACTGGTGTGTGACTTGTTGTCTAGTTTTCCAGGAAAGGACGCTTGATGAGCCGAAACGATATCTCTAGATTATGTGTTGGGTGTAATTAGTGTGTGACTTGTCCGATTATTCAGTTTCGGACGCTTGATGGCCCAAGGTGTGTCTCCAGAATTATGTGTTTAGTGAGATCTTGTGAGTTTAACAAACAGATCGAAGTGTGTAAACCTCCAAATGTTTTGTTTAAATCTTATTGTATAATTTGTATCTTTTTGGTAATTTAGTTGTTATTTATTATTTTTTTTTTTTTGTTGCTGAAAACAGGCCTCCCCCTTTGGCCACACAGAG